CCCACCCCCACGCTGCAATAAATCATCCGTAATATGCAGATACCTATTTGAAACCCTGTCCTTCTTCCCAGCCCTTCAGGTTGGAGTTGATGCTGGCTGGAAGCAGGCCCGAGCAGCAGTAATGACCCTGAAGCTATTACTAGTGGATATTTATAGCACTCAGGGCCAGCTATGGGGCAGCACTCATGACCACATTGGCTTCATGCATGTGGGCGTCCAGCTACTAGTTGCCAGGTTACCACAGTGCTTCCAGGTACCTGTGTGTCCCCCAGACGCGCATACACACACACAGAGAAACACCTTTAGAATTAAGATCTGCTTTCTTTCTGCAGGCTTAAAGCAAAAAAACAACAAGCTTTAATTGTTTTTCTTGCTTACCAATGAAAAACTTGACTCGAGTAAGAGAACAATTTCTGTGAATTCAAGCACAGAACACTTCCTAATTAAGTTTATTTTACCTTCATTTAGCTTTTAATGCTCTTAAATAGTGAAATCAAGGGATAAACACAGGTTCTGTGGACCGGTTGTATAAGATCTACATGCCTCTGCACTCCAGGGATGAGCCTAGCGTAAAGGTGCTGAGCTCTAATGAATGCCTTTAATAATGAAAAATGCAGTTTGCGCAATACCACAAGCCCTGCACACGCTGCAACTCTATCCAAACTTCGACTCCCTTCTCCCACATCAACAAACCTGGAAGCAAGCCCTGGTTCTCCATGGAGGTGTACCACAAACATGGCCTAAAGATTACATTGCACAATTAATCAATACCATAATGAGATCCCATTTTCTCCACCAAATAGTATCCAGGCCGAAAGTTTCCTCCTTCTTTAGTTTGTTGGATGAAAACTTGCGTTATTAAAAGAGAGCAGCCAGCAGGAAATTAAATTAAATTAAGTTTGCATCCTGATAGATTTATTAGACACTCCACATTTTCATTGTGTTGTTGTGCCATCGGAAAGAGAGCGAGGGTCTTGAGGGGGTGCAAGCGTGATTGTGTGGGTGCGTGAAGAGATAGAGCGAGAAAGGAGTGAGCTGTAGATGTCATACGCTTGTGGCTCACTCTTGAATTTACGACTGAAGCATAGCTTCACAGATTACTTGTATTTGGATGGGTTGTAAGTCTGCCAAATGTGCATTGTAAAACAGGGACGGATGTATCTGCGTAGGAGTGATCGAAAAAAGAAATGTGCGTGTGTGTGCGTGTGTGTGTGTGTGTGCGTGCGTGTGTGTGTGTGTGTGTGTGTGTGTGTGTGTGTGTGGGTGTATGTGGTGGTCATGGATGTATTGGATTCTGTTGGTATGTATGTGGGTTTTTTTGTTGTTGTTTTTATTTTGAAGGGGTGAATATGTGAGTTGGCTGTCTTTTTTACTCTGTATGCTTATATAAATTTCATGAAATATCAGTCATAATTCACCCCAAAATCAATTGGAAAAAATAAAATAAATAATTTTTTTGCATAAGAAAATCAAGCTTGTTTTAGGACCATTAAGATTTTTGATTTGTGACTATTTTATTTAAAATACTGTATTGAAATTCATCTTGCCATGACACAAAATATAATATATATCCATAAATGATGACATTAAATGTATACAATTAAACATATAGTAAAAGATTATGTATTATAACCCATTATAAGTATTTTATATATTATATACAATATAAAAGTATATAGTATAAATAAAATATAGAACAATATATATATATATATATATATAAAATAGTAATTATTATTATTAAATTGTATGTAAAGTTTGTGTATATATGTGTAAATATTGTTGAAATTTTAATTGAGATCATTTATTTAAAAAATGTTTTATTATAATTACAAAAAATTAAATTTGACAAATAGAGATGGAGGTTTAAATGTGCTTCATTATCACGAAAATAATGCAAAAACGAAATCTGAAAAAAAGACTATTTTATTTAAGCAACAACAAAAAAAAAATATATATATATATATATATATATATATATATATAAACAGACATTTTGACACCATGCAGTTTCACCCATATATGCTTGAGAATGTTTTTATGTTTGTCTGGTTTTTACTTACCCCTCTCATGCTGGTTAAGGATTGAGGGCATGGCCTGGTGCTCACCACAGCTGCTTGTGCCATATGGAGATGTAGTGCTGGTGTGTGCTTCCACAAGCTCACGGCCACAGCAGCAGTGCATCCTCAGCTCGCCCTCCCCAACCATGCACCGGTCCAGCACACTCCCTCCATCCACTTGAAAGAGAATAGTACACCAGTACTTACTCTTAAAATCCTCTCGTGAAGACAGATTTCCTATGGATTTAAATTTTAAATCAAATCTTTTCCTTTTAATCCATCAAAGGTGCTGTTCAAACACCTTGACACATTCACTTTGAATATCAAGTGTGCTGGTTGAAGAGTTCAATCAAAAGTTCTCGCTGTGAATTACAGGGCTGTTTGATTTTCAGCGCTCTGAATTTAGCTTTTGATTTGTTCTGTCGCCCTTTTCTGTCCTGCTGATTTTGTCCCCTCTCTCAGTGGTCACTGTTCAAGGCTTGTTAGTCCCACACAGAGATTGTCAATGCTCTTTCTAATTGTGATTTGCAGTCTATTCAGTTGTAGTCAGAAGACTGTTTGAAAGAGGAAATGTCAGTCTGAAACTGCCTAGTCAACAGCACTGTAATAGAGGGGTTCAGAGATGTCTAGTATGACCAGCTTTGTCTGAAACTAAAGCAGCTTCCATCAACGGCTAAACAGGCAGCATTTAGTATTATTATCCTTCTAAGGATACCGGTTTTAGACCAGATTTCCAATGCATCATGACGTTTTGGCTCATCTGTGGATTATCTATCCCTCTGAAAATGTCTGAAAAAAGCCTGGGTTTCTCTTATATCGGTGAATTTCCCAAGAAATGTCTAGGTCATAATTCACCCCAAAATCAAAAGAAAAAAAAATATATGAAAATAAAGTCTATATTTGCGGCAATTAATATATTATATGATATGATATATTATATTATATTATATTATATTATATTATATTATATTATATTATATTTATGTGTATATTTGGCTAACAATGCTCATTTGTTAATCAGTTAATCAAAATAAATTATAAATGTATAAATTTATTTATTAAAATAAAGTTATACGTTTAATAATACATGTATTACTAAATTATATTATTTATTATGATAAAAATTATAAATAACACATAAAAATCATTATTAAAAATATAAATAATAAAAAAAAATAGTTTAAATAAATATACTACTTTCAACTGCTCTAATTTTGAGATTGTGGGAAATCATACAGTAGGCAGCGCAGTGTATATTTCATCAGTATGTGTTATCTTCTGACCTGGTGAATGTATTTTAGTAGTAAAGTCTCTTACCTTTGTATATACTGCCTGCTAAGGCAGCATTTATTAGCTTTCGGACATGGCCATGATCAGGTGTGGTTACCGTGGTGCTTTCTGTAAAAGTGCCAGTGGCTGTATGAATGTCTTTCTTTGTGTGTATTACCCCATTGAGCATGCAGTTCGCATAGATTTTGCACATGTACGTCGAAGTGTAATGCTGCAGGCCGGGAGGCAGCGCAGAACCGCAGCCCCCAATTCACTCAGCACGTAATGCTCATAAAACTAATAAAAATGCTAATGAAAGGGACAGTTTTCTTCAGTTTTTCAGTGTACGGATTTGGTTTTCGTGTATGCGTTATGTATCTGTATTTCACATGACATTCAAATGTTGGTGTGCTGGAACGAGTCAGATTGTGTGTGTGTGTGTGTGTGTGTGTGTGTTTGTGTGTGTGTGTGTGATCTCCGTGGTGACAGGGGACCGCTTGTTCTGTGACTGTTTACAACACTGTAATCATCGCAATTTATGATTACAGAACAGAATTGTTGTTATTCACTCTGGCTAGATATGCTTTAAACAACGCTTTTATTCATAAGCTGTCAAAATGTATCCAGCGAACACTTGCTGACTTCAAATTTATAGAATTTGTTTATATATATACACCAAGCCCTTACTTTGAGTTGACAACCATAATGTTACAAAAAAACAGGTGCTTTGTAAGCCTCACACAACTCCTCCTGTGTTCACATGAAGATCCCTGTTTAGGATGATCTGTCCCTGGTTTTATCCTCTCTGTGAATAACTTTGGCACTATGTACCATCAGTAAACAGTTGCGCCACTTTTGCGCACAAACGGTTTTATTCACTAACCGCTCTTAGCTTAACCAGGCGCCGCTGTGTGTATTTAAATTAAATCATTGTCATTCTTTTCAGCACAAACACGCCTTCTTTCTATGTAAATTAGGTTTATTATAGATTACACCTTATTCACAAGACTCAGCGCTATTTGCCTGTGCAATTAATGTTGCGCTTGTACTGCCTGTGGAAAGCAGACTCTAAGCAATTTTATACAGAATAGTAGACATTTGTGTGTTTTCTAGCAATAATTCCTCAAATGATGGAGAAGAACAGGCAGTGAATGGCATATTTCACTTAATTCTCTGTTTCAGTCACTCCATAAATGTTGTCAAGTGGCTAGCTGCTAAATATGCTAACCACACTCTTAAAAATAAAGGTGCTTCAAAAGGTTCTTCAAGCGATGCCATAGAAGAACCATTTTTAGTTCCACAAAGAACCATTCAGTCAAAGTTCTTTAAAGAACCATCTCTTTCTTACCTTTTTATAATCTCAAGAACCTTTTTTCGCCACAAAGAACCTTTTGTCAAACAGAAAGGTTCTTCAGATGTTAAAGGTTCTTTATGGAACCATTTAGACAAAAAGGTTATTCTATGGCATTGTGAAGCACCTTTATTTTTAAGAGTGTAGTTATGAACATGCATTAACACAATTTTTATTCATTATTTTTATGTGTATGTATGTTGTTGCCCCATCTGTTTCCAGGGTACTGCTGCTTCTTCAGTCAGACCTTTATACTCACCACACCTCATCTTCTTTTTTTCTTTTCCTCTTTCTTTCTCTTGGTCCTGTCCTTTCCCCAGAACCCAGACATTGTCCTGGTCCACTACCTGAATGTGCCAGCTATCGAGGATTGTGGGAAGCCATGTGGGCCCATCCTGTGCTCCATCAATACAGACAAGAAAGAATGGGCCAAATGGACGAAGGAGGAACTCATTGGCCAGCTGAAACCCATGTGTGAGTGTCCAATCACATTCCATCAACTGAATGCATAACCTGTCTCTTCTTATGCATGTTTTAAGTGATCACTGCAAACAGTGTTTCAAGAAATACCATTACCAAACTGCCATTCAAAGGTTTGGGGTCAATATAATTTAATTTATTAATATTTTCTTTTTTTGACTTAGATGTTGCATTTATTTAATCAAAATAGTATTATATTATATTATAAAACACAGTGATATTGTGAAATATGTAATACAACTTAAAATAACTCTTTTATCATTTGATATGTTTTTGTTAAAAACAGTTGTGCGCCTTAATTTTTTTTGTGAAAACCATGCAAAAAATATTTTTCAGGATTCTTTGATGAATAGAAAGATCAAATGAACAGCATTTATTTGAAATTGATTTTTTTAATAATGTAAAAGTCTTTCCTGTCATTTCTGATTAATTTAATGCATCCTTGGTGAATAGAAGTATTTATGTAAAAAAAAAAAAAAGTACTAACCATTTGAATGGGTGTGTGTGTGTGTGTGTTACTAAAATATATACGTTAATGTATAGAAAAAATAAATTTAATGAGTTTTATGCTTAAAAAATAAATCAAATGGACTTCAAAACTCCATATTACCTATCTTGAAATTGATTTTCAAATTTTTAATGTTACATATCTATTATATTTTACAGAATAATATTAGATGTAGCAAATTTGCATCTCAGGTAAATCTAATTAAATATTTTTTCTGGAAAACTAGCAAAGATACGGTGAATGTTTTGCACTCTAGAAAAGGCCTTTGTGAGAAATCAGTGTCCATTGTGGTTCACACTGCCCCAACAAACCCCAACAGCTGTTGGTTCTGGTTAGGGCAGTGTAAACTAGTCTAACGATACTTGACAATGTCTTCTGTAATTTCTGTATTATTTATGCAAGCCCGGTGCTGTTTTAGTTATGCAATGTTTCATGAGAGGTTAGTCTTTCCCAGCTCAGCCTACTCCAGGCAAATGTTTCCTGCTGCAACTTGTGCCCTTGTTCATAGCAGGAGTCTCCATGTGGAAGCCTTGACATGATTATTACCTCACCCACTCCGAGGCGCCCGGGTGTCCCAGGGTCAGTGGAGCCTCTTGCCTGCGTCTCACTGTCCAGAGTGATAAAGCACGTTGGTTTCCAGTCAGTCAGTGGAGGAGAGCAGTGATGTATTGATTGATGCCAGTGAGTGGGCGGAAGAGTGTCTGACTCGCCAGAAATCCCTTCACACGTCCAGCACCGCTTTGCCCGTGCTTTATTCTTACACTGTGTTTATGTTTTCGTCTACGACAGGTCTAGGTCACAGAACTGACCAGAGGAAACCTGTCTAATGAGGATGTTGTAAAAAAGGGGACAGCGGCATGCATATAATAATGTTTACCCTGAGTCTTATGAGGACACATCTCTGTATGTGATGCCTAGCATTGATCATTTGAACTAGGACGGGGCTGTCAAGGTAATGAATATATGAAGTCGGATCCCTTGCGTCAGCACTTTTAGACACAGGATGTCAGCGTGGAGAATACAGACGAGCTCAGCTGACATTGTAATCGCTGCCGCGTGTTACGATCCCCTTAAGAGCTCTCGTGGCAATCACTTAAGAGCTCCCTTTCACATTGACTTTAAGACACGTGCAGTAAACTAATGTGTTCATTACACTCCATGCCTGATCTATCCCAAAACCATTTGCCGTAACGCATGCAAGTCATTAACGTTGCAAATGGTGTGGACAATGGCAAAGGTGTGAGATGTCTTCCACCGGTCAGGCCCGGTGCACTGAGACTAGGCTAATAAGGCCACAAGATTCACCCTCATATCTTCAAACAACCATCCGTGATGTGAGCTCATCTGAAGGGCAACAGTACCACCTAGTGGTGGCGCTGCAGACATGCAGCCTGTTGATAGTCGGAGATTCATTGTAAACCTTATTAGCCATGCATAATTCATGGATGCATTATACATCAGCTCTACAAACCCAATGTGTTCCCTTGAGTGACCCATATCATACAAAAACAGCTTGCATTCATTAACAGGACGAGGTGTGCAGTTGGGATTGAATGCTTTAGGAGCGGTGCATTCCTCGACTGACAGTCCTCAGAGAAAGACTTCTGTAACTGTCGATAGGTTGCAGAGAAGTTTCTGTTTCTCCGCTTTTTAATTTTAATTTTTAATGCATTTGCATCAGATATTGTAGAAATGAATCAGTGATGAGGTTGCGTCATTACCTGCTTTGCACAAAATGAGCGTTTCAACATTGTAGTGTGAAATATAGATTAGTTATTTTTGCCTTCAAGCTCTGTTATACAGGGTGATTTTGAAGTTTTTACAAAGCTTCTGAGATGTATTGTAATTCATCATCAAAGCTTTAAGCTCTCCTGTTATCTAGAAGTCTACCTTAATGCATTATAAGAAACATTTAATAAAATAATTTTTTCTGACTGCTATCTCATTATTGTACTTAAAGGTAAACAATTCCTTTTTTTCACCAATAACTCTTTGGTTCTTCTTTTATTTAGTTCAACCACTGTCATATAGAGAACACTTTTCACAATATAATGAATTCTAGATTTGTAGTTGTTAAATATCTATTATCACTTAGAAATACATCATCTTACCCTAGTCAAATACATTGCAAACGTTGTTTCATGTTGAAGTAGGTGTGTGCAGCAGAGGTCAGATGGCAGGTCATGGAAGGCAACGGTTGCACACTACAGCTGGAGAGAAGAACGCGCCGGCCTGATTCATTCCTCTCCGCTGATGTAATTTAAGAGACCGGGGACCAGCCATGCCTGAAGCCCCCTCACTGCTGCATGAGCAGATGATCAGACAGTGGTTATAAACACACACACACGCACAGCAGTGTGCGAGATATCTCATGTGATTTATGTTTCCTGGAGATAGGCTGCGATTAAAGATACAAGTTGATGGGTGTGGTTATGAGGTGCTTTGAGCTTGTGGATATGGATGCGGCTGGCGGAGAGAATGTTTGATTTGATTTGTCTGCAGCATTTAATCCAGAAGTTTCAAAGTCTTCCAAAGCCCTAAAATTAATAACATATACACAAATGTAATTGTAAACGTAAATACAATTAAGAATAAATGTAATATTAAACAAATATTGTTTAAAAGTTAAATGTGCAAAAGAAGTTTATTTTGTAATGTAATATGCCATTTGTTAAATTTGTCTACATTTTTTATTATATTTTGAATTATACAGATATTTTACTAATCTTAATTACTTAGTTTTAAATGGCCCTGTGGTGTGATAAATCAGTTTTATTATTATTACAAATATTTTATAAAAAATTTTGTTTTGTGTACATTTCACCAAAATGTTGCATTAAAATATGATTTGCAAGCTAGACTTAGCATTCTAAAAAATATTTTGTAATGTTAGATTTTTATATTAACATTCATATTAATATTTTATCTAAAGATTTATTAATTACACTTTCCCTTAACAACTGCATTTTTTTTTAAATACTTTTAGATGAAAAACAGGACAGCTGAAATTCCACAACTACCCAAATATTTTCTTGAGCACCCAGAGGACACTCTGTGCTCCCCCCCGGGGATGTATGCAGTGCACCCCAGTTTAGGCACGACTGCACTAAGGAAATATGAATTTCATTCCTCAACAACATTCGGAGATACTCAGACTCTGCGTCTGTGTGTGGTTGTGCAGACACAAGGGACATTGCCAGATGGGCTGTTTGAGCAAAGGACCGATAGTTTGAAGAACTGCATTAGTAACGGCAGGCCACTTTGGACTGAAGTGCGGGAGAATCCCTGCAAGTCTAAATCAGAGGATTCTTCTTCAGATCCTCGCAGTCAACGCTTCCTGCAGATGTCACGGCATATCCACCAAACCAGCTTGGCCTTTCATTACATGACCTGCCTTGTGCTGCGACTCTGGTTCAGGCTCACGCTGTGAGATTGATTTGTCTGTTCAAGCATGGTCATGCTGGTGTAATGGCTTATGGAACGCCGCTGCAATTCTCTGGCCAAACGCGGAATGGCAGAGCTCAGCAGAGCAGAGAAACCTGCTGTGTATGTGACAACTGTTGTGCCTGCTCTGGCTGGTGACGCAGCACTGTTTGCGAGTTCAAGCCAAACGCTTTTGTCTCTTTTATCTATTTTTGTCTCTTTGTCTGTTTCTCCCTTCGCCTCCCTTTTCCTCCCCTCGCTTTCACATGCAATCTCACCTCAGCTTGTTACGCTCACTGAAGTAGCAAAGCGTGCACAAGCCGTATTAAGGTATCTCGATGCTGTTTGATATTCTAAATACCGTTCCTCTCCAGAGATCAGCACATTTACTTTGTTGCATTTCTTTTTCCTTTTGCCATTTTACTGTTTCAGTTGTTGTTATTGTTCTTTTTCTCAGAGGAGAGAGGCTGAGCTTTGAAACGGTGATGGCAACAGAGGGCGCAAACTGCAAAAAGCACCTTGTCAAAGGGCAGGGGCTTTTACTTCAGCTGAAGTGAGACGAGGAAGACTTTTGCTTTCTGTTCTTCCTCCCACGTCAGCTGAAAATTCACTCTTAACAGGCCCAAATCTGTTCTTGAACTTTCCGTGTTCCCGTCCGAGGTCAGAAAGTAGACCAAAAAGAATTACTCTCTTTCTCGTTGTACTCTTTTTCTGGACAAAGTGGTTTTGATATGGAGTCTGGCTCTGAGGTAAGGTCAGGGATGTAGTGCACAGGCGGGGTGGGGGAGGGCTGGAAGGCTCGGCTGGTGGGCTGACGACTGTGTCTCCTCTCTCCCTCGGCAGTTCATGGCATCAAGTGGACTTGCAGCAATGGGAACAGCAGCTCTGGCTTCTCTGTGGAGCAGCTGGTGCAGCAGATACTGGACAGCCACCAGACCAAGCCTCCTCCCCGGACTCACAACTGCCTCTGCACTGGCACTCTGGGTAAGGGACAGAAAGGAGGGCTGGGGTGTGGGAGAGAGAGGCCATCAGAAAGACACAGGTAGAGATGGAGGGAGCGGGTAGTGCTTTAAATATGTCTGCAAGAACTGTAAAAGATGAGCTGAGTGTAGAGCAGGCTGAAAGCCTAATTAGAGTAGCGTCCAGGCTGAACATTTCACAGAAGTGCTGATTTATTGAGCTGTCTGTTGCAATGACACCACTGGGGGGCGTAATGTTCCTGTGTATCTGTGCAGTCAGTCTTTTTTTACTCAAGCATACAACAAATGAATTTTCACCTTATACTTCATCACAAATATCCAGCACAGCACTTTACAATCCCATGGTGTTGCTCCTATAGGGTGCCGTTACTCTGAAGCAAATTGAATTGCGTGTTTAAAACAAATGATTGTGGGGTAGATGGATTGCCATTTGTTGTATGTTCATATAAAATTAAATTGCCAAGTATGCAGTAAAATGACTAATGCGACACATCAGCCATTTATTAACAAAATGGGAAAGCTATGTGTTGGCTTCTTGTGAAACGATTAATATTGATGATTGATGGTCTCTATAAAGATGTAAATTAATCTCAATGTTCATTCAAAGCATCAGCATCAAAGCATTTTATTCCATTTCAAAGACATTATGTGGCTCATTCTTTGAAATGCTCTTCTTCTGATGTACAAAGAAAACAGAGACTCTTATAGTGGTGTCATATATAAAACAGTAGTGTAGTTATTATCATGTGCTTTGTATTATTCAAAAATAGTTTCAATGGAATAAATAATAGGAAAGGGTGGGGTATATTGCTGATTGTGTTAATTTAGATACTGTCGTGAATAAGAAAGTTAATAATAAAAAGTAAATATTGACAATAATAATAATGGAATAATGTTAAAACTGCGGAATGTCATTAAGGAGTCATAAATATGAATTATTCTGAATGCAATAGAGTGGTTAATGTCCACATTTGCTTTGTGTATGCAATACTAATAATATCGATAAGGAAAAATATTGATGATGACACTAGTGATTCTGTTGATAATTGTAATAATGTTCATTTTAAAGGGGGTAATGCCATTAAGGGGGTCAGAGATATTCATTATTCTAATAAATTAGTATAGATAATGATAATAATGCATTGTTTTTATTATTAATAAAAAATTATAGTAATCATTTTTAGTTTGGAAAATGATTAGCTGTTTTCTGTTTTCTTCTGCAGGTGCTGGGAGCAGTGTGCATCATAAGTGTAACAGCGCCAAACACCGCATTATCTCTCCCAAAGTGGACCCTCGTTCAGGTGGTTACAGCAGCACCCACTCTGAGCTCCAGAATAATGATGTGTCTGAGGGCAAGACAGAACACAGCCACAGCAGCAAAAACAGCGGAGGAACAGGAGGAGGAAGCGTACGTGAAAAACGCAATGGAAAGGTCCATAAACCTGTGCTGCTGCACCAGAACAGCACTGAGGTCTCCTCTACCAATCAGGTGGAAGTGCCTGACACAACCCAGAATTCCCCTGTGTCCATCAGCAGCGGGCTGAATTCTGACCCCGACATGGTTGACAGCCCAGCGGTCACAGGTATGGGCCATGTTGCCTCTGTTATGAGCAGCCTATCCCAGAGTGTCTTCATGTCTGAGGTGACTGGGGATCCCGTCTACAGCATGTCCCCTACTGGAGGCCACAATACCCATATTATGGGCCCCGACGCCACCTCTCACAGTCTGGTTTTAGGAGTCACCTCTGACAGCCACAAGTTTGCTTTTCCAGGAAGCGGCAATGCAGATACAGGTGGTCCCGGAGCAGATGGGCTGTCCATGCTCTCTGCCTCCGGTGTCTCTGACGAGCTTGTCCTCTCCAACAGCCTAGACTCCAGCAGCATCAAAATCCCAGAAGCCACCATGAACTTTGACCCCGACTGCTTCCTGAACAACCCGAAGCAGGGCCAGACATATGGGGGAAGTGGATTAAAGCAGGAGAGTGGCACATCCAGTGCCTCATCCTCCTCAACAGTTAGCACCAATGGTTTGCAACGCTCGCCAACTATATCCGATTCAAACTACGGCTTCAGTTCTGCACTGGTAAAGAACATCAAGACCGAGGACACCTCCTTCGAGCAACAGCTTGCCAAAGAAGGGAGATACCAAGTGGGGCCAGTTGTAAGCTGTAGCGTTTCCAGCGGCTCAGGCTCTCAGAACTCACTCACCTTGACCCCTGCTTCCTCTCTGCTTCCCTCTGGAGGGGGCCTGAGTCCAAGCACCACCTTGGAGCAGATGGATTTCAGCGCCATCGATGCGAAGCAAGACTACTCCGCCGGTGCTACAGCAGTAAGTTATAGCCATGCATTGAACAACCTAGCTCACCAAAACCGATCTCCAAGCTTTTTTCTTCAAGAAGCACCACAGACAGCCCAGAACCAGCAAGGCCGGCAGAGCTCCAGCCAGAAGGGCCACCTTCTGGAACATAATACCGCTGACGGAGCCTACATGGGTCTGCAGGTTGTAAAGACAGAATCGCCTGGCAGTAATGGTCATCTCCACCACCATCACACCCACCAGGGCCAACACAGACCCAACTGCAATGGAGGCTCACCCACCGAGGGACAAGGACAGACTGGCTCACTGCAACTCCTTCAATACCAAGGAGGTTTCCCAGGCCTTGGTCCAGAGCATGAGGAAGTGGTCGGCATGGATCAAAACCGCAATGTTGGGTCCGGCCAGTCTGGGGCCACTGAAAATGGGACAGATGGTTTACTAAAGTCTGGGGATCATCTACAAGCCTGCAGAGGAGGAAGCAGAGAGAGCGGAGGAGCAGATCACTTCATGCAGCAGAGCTCTGAGAACAGAGTCGGAGCTGAAGCCGTGGCTTTGAGGAATGGAAACACCACGAGTGGGCCCAACAGCGGCTCGCAACAGCAACTCCAGCCACTGCTTCAGGGAGCTAATTTGGTTCAGGGGCTCTACAACACTCACCACGGGCTTAGTGGAGCTGGAGCCAATGGCGGAGGAGGCACGGGCATGGAAATCAGCTTGGATCATTTTGACATCTCTTTTGGAAACCAGTTTTCTGACCTCATCAACGATTTCATCTCAGTGGACAGCGGAGCCACAGCGGTAGGGGCTGCAGGGACATTATACACCCACCAGTTGGTGGCCCCACCTGGGTCGGAAGGAGCGGCTACCTCAGGTGGGAACCAACAGCAAGGTCATGAGGATGCAGCCAACAGGGTGGCAGGATATAGCCCCTCAGAGCTTTGCCTCCAGTCGTGCTGCAGCCCCCAGTCTTTAGGTGGAGGTGCTGGTGCTGGCGGAGGGTCAGGAGAGACTGGCTCACTGGCCTACATGCATGTCGCTGAAGTAGTGTCAGCAGCAGTGGCCCAGGGCACTCTGGGAATGTTGCAGGCCACTGGGCGACTTTTCATGGTCACAGACTACTCTCCAGAGTGGTCCTACCCAGAGGTATGTCTGTTTGAATGAAATGCTGTACATTGTACATGCTGTACAAGTTTTCCTCTATTACAATTACATACTCAAATAGGCTACTACTATTACTACTAATTATTATTATTATTTATACATTTTTACTTATGTAAAATTATTTTTTAAATTTCTTAAAGCAGCACTATGTAACTTTTTCTGTGTTCAAAATTAGCTAAATGTATATAATGAGAGAGTACATCATGAATTCATCTTCCAAACCGGGTTAGGGTTAGTCTTATTCCGAATCACTACAGTACACTTATAATAAGTACTTATATTTGGACTATTGTAGCCTGGTCGGGTCGTCACCGCTGCGGAGTAACACATACTGCGTGAATCGCCATAGACGTAAACTTAGAGAAGTAGCTCCGGTTGGAATGTTCTTCCGCGGGATGTGTGCAGTTCTGTTCATTAACCGCCAAAAGTTACATAGTGCTGCTTTAATGTATATGTATACCAATGTTTGTTATCCAAACATCTCCAGTGCTGTTGCATTATTTCACCACAAGATGGCAGAATACCCTTGAAAACACATTTAAAACGCAATTGATGTTGAAGTCTTGTTGTCTTCCACAAGATGGCATTATAGCATGTGTTTATTCTCCTTTCAAACGCTACCTTTATACCAAAATATTTTAATAATTATTATGTGATAAACATGATGATGATGCTACTTGTCCTGCTGAGGGAATTTTTTTGAGTATACATATGTTATGTGAGGATTTTTTCCTCCATATTTCAGGGTGGTGTGAAGGTTTTAATCACTGGGCCATGGCAAGAAGACAGCAGCAGCTACACTTGCCTGTTTGATCAGATCTCTGTCCCTGCCTCCCTGATCCAGCCCGGAGTTTTACGTTGCTACTGTCCCGGTAATTTCACATTTATTCATACAGAAGTGACTGACTAATTAATATATCTCCTTTAAGAGGTACATATTTTTTAATGTGATTGTAAAAAGAATATAAATATAATCATGTGTTCAATACTTCAAATAAACATTAAAAAGTAAATATTTTCCTAGATTGCAATGAATTTCTGTAAGTCTTCAGACATCACCCCTTATAAGGCGGAGAACTGCATGAACTCTCATAGGTGTCAGTGTGATTTCCTCTGATCTTCTCTAATTACGGGGTTGTGTGTGTCTGCAGCCCATGACACAGGCTTGGTGACTCTGCAGGTGGCTGTCAGTAATCAAATCATCTCTAACTCGGTTGTGTTTGAGTATAAAGCCCGTGCACTGCCCTCCCTACCTTCATCCCAGCATGACTGGCTGTCACTTGACGGTAGGTCTTCCTTTCTGTCTTTTTCTGCATTTGTGAGAAAAAAATATATATATATCACTTTACTAAATCTGGAACCCATCATGTGACCCCTGATTATTGAGCTACTTGAAGTAGGTGATTATATAACGGTGCCTTGGCCCAAGGCTTTTCTAATTATCCCACATTCAGTATTAACAAATTAGAAGCACATCTGATCGAAAAAAAAGAGTATGTCATAAAGCCAGAGATACAGAGAGTGAGTGTGTAATAACAAATTTGGATTGAGGAAGGGTAAGATGCAGTTTAAAATGTCCATGTGCAAGGTTTGCTTTACAGTTGACCTCTAGATGGGGATAGAGGGCATGTTTAGCAAAGAAAGCAGAGTTCTGTTGAAATCTGAGCAATCAACACCAGTGCTGAATATGTATTTGAGGTCAACAAGCAAAGGTAAAGAGTGTTATTCAGAGCTAAAGGGAGTGCAGTCCACCCTGTAATCAGATAGAATTTCAGTTTAAGGCCTTTAAGAAGTAGGAGCTTTTGATGCTTTTTTTTGCTCTTTGTGCTTTAATCTGAGGCATGGCAGGCACAAAGGAGAGATGGAGGCAGTAATTTATATAAGTGGTTAGTACTTTGGGGTCAAGGGGAAGGGCAGTCTGGAAATAGTACACTGACGACTTTGATGAGCTTTTCGTGACATAAGACAAACTGATTGCTCCTTCACATCTGACTTGACTTTGTATCTCTGTATTTATACAGAGGTTTTGGGGTGTTTTTTGCACAAAAATGCGTAATTTTATTCTATGTAAGATTTTATCAACATTAACCTTGCAATAAGGTTGTTACAAATTGTTAAATTAGATGGGACAAAAAGAAAGACATGTGACCAGGATCCACCATTAATACTTCTACTGTACTGTTTCAACTTGCTTTACGCACACATCGGTGAACTTTACAAAATGTCCTTTAGCTGTCCCAGTCTGTTAGTGTTAACTTAAATGCAAGGGTTTAAGTCTAATCATACCATCGCTGTGGGGGATTTGCCCTCTTTAAAGCCTGGCAAACCAAATACAATCCCACACACATGATTCAGCGCATCCCAGGCTGCCTCAAACTGAGGCTGTGGCATCAAAGAGCATATGGGCAAAGCGACACACCTGCCAATTTGACGTCCGAAGCTCTAATCTGCTTGCTCCGATCAGGTGATAGGAGGTTTAGCCAAGACAAACAATCCCAATGAATGGTTGGACAGCGAGTGGCGGCCAGCGTTCAGATACAGCATGTGTTTGACAAGCCTGATGTTTGGAGAGCAGAAGCCTAAGACAAACCAGTAGAAATAATCACGCATTACAGTAAGAGGGACACATGCGCTTACACCAACAGATGCACTTACTGTATATCACTGCACATATCTATTAAACGGCTGATTTCTGTGTGTATTTAATCTGGGAGGTGTGTGTACGTGTTATAAGGACAGGCTAAGTGCTCTGTCTCCTATGAGTCTGAGTAAAGAGAGTGCCAGTGCCTGTGTGTAGTGCTGTTTGTCGGTGGGCGTGGGGGGGGGTTGTTACTGCAGTGTGCATTGACAGGGTAAAGTAGGGCATGGTGGAGGAGCCTGTGGAAAGGGACAGCTGCAATGCAGACAGCCCTGGAGGCAGAGAAAGGGAGCAACAGAGGGCCGAGGCCCCTCTCAGAACCCCGTTTCCATTCAGCACAAAACCAGTCCATTCACATCTCACAGACAGCACAGACAACCATGCACTTGTGAATCTAGAGACAACTGTGTATAAAAAACAAACACATATAGATATAGATATATATAGATATAGATATATATATATATATATATATATAGATAGATAGATAGATAGATAGATATCTGTCATATATCTACACACACACACACACACACACACATATATATATATATGAAGAGTGTCGTCTGAAATTTTCATCTAAAATGAGGATTTTTAGCAGGCTCCTCTCTTTAGGTTCAGTAATTTTACTCTAATGGCAATGTATAGGTCATTTCCTATGCAATTAAAGTGAAATAACTGAACATAAACGTAGGTGCCCGCTAAAAAAATCCTAATTTTAGATGAAAATGTCAGAAGGCACTTAGAGGCTTTTGCATCTGAACTCTTCATAAATATATATATATATATACACACACACAAACACACAACAGTTTCTACTATATACACTGTCTTCTGCGTTGCAATATATACATACAAATAAAATGTATTTTGCAATATATATATATGTGTGTGTGTGTGTGTGTGTGTGTGTGTGTATATAACATACTTAAAAATGTAAGGCAGCAACTGAACTATATACACATGTCTAAGTTCAGTTGCTGCCTTAAATTTTTAAGTTTAAACAAATTGGATGTTCAAGTCAAGTCATTTCAACTAATTTGTTAAAAACAAGTCTAGTTGAATCTCGTATAACCTGAAAAATAAAGTTGATATAAGTAATTTTGATGATTTAACATAATAGAAAAACATTGTTGTGGCTTATTGATCATATATTTTACAGTGCATATTACATATATATAGCATATATATATATATATATATATATATATATATATATATATATATATATATATATATTTTAAAATGCATTGAATTTGTTTGCATGCACACTTAGACTACTGTCTACAGTATACCACATTGTTGTGGTTATTCAGCATTTATGGAGTTCTCAAGAATTGTTTCTTAATGTATTTTCATTTAGCTCAGTGTTTTATAAACTTAAGTAGCAAAAGGTAGGTTTAGTGGATTAGTGGATAAAAATAAGCTTAACTGAATTAGATTGATTCATGAGTTGGTTTGACTTTAAGCACGGCATGAAACAGTGCTGCCTGGAAATGAGGGTGTTGAAGAATGCGAGGAAATCACAAAGCCATTTTGTAGTTATTCCCGACTCCTGCTCTGACTTATGAAATAATGGGTGGTTTAACTGAGTGTGATATTCGGAATTGAATTTGCACTCACTTCACAGGTGAAGCTGGGTAGAATATCAATGGACTTAGTACATACAGTAAGACCATGCTATTAGAAAAAAACAATAAGTACGTTTTATATATGAAGTCTCTTGTTTGTTTGGCATGTTATGAGTATCAGTATCTAAAACGACATTGTGCACAGGCAATAAGCAGTACAGTTGGGATGTGGCAGATGTTACTGTTGTTTCTCAGAAGAGGGCCATAACTATAATCATACTCAATCTAGTTACTGGATTTTGGGGTTTATATGATTGCCTCTGCACTGACTCTCACTCCTGGCCATTAAACCACAGCCTGGTTTCTATATCGAGCACTACTGTCAAATAAAACGATCTCGAGACAAACCTCAGCGTCTGCTGTTTGACACTACATTGATCGTTTCTTTTCAGCTGTGTGCTCTGATGCTCTAATGGCACACAGCTGCCTGCCCTGATTTGTCATAATGCAGAATGGGGGCGGGGCTTTGCTTCTCTCTGCAGCATTGCAGGTACGAAGCCACAGGCTGGAGTCATTGTGCACTGTAACCATGACCAATATATTGTCTTCATTCCAGTTCATATCGTCCACCGATTTAAGTGTGTGTCCAAATTACTGTCTAGTTATTCAGTGGTCAATCGATGCCGCTCTTTGCACATTACCGAGATGAACCAGCATATTAGCATCGGTTTCTCACAATGCCTGTAATTTATAGATATGAAAAAATAAACAGTCGTTTACATATATCCAAAATTATTTGTCTGGCTTTGTACAACTACTGATGGGGGGGGGGGGTTGCTTTGTCTTCATGGGTCGTGGAAAAACTAGGGCGTCTGTTTACCTGCGGCACGTGCGCCGCGTCTCCTCGCGCTGAGATTCACGCACGCGCACGCAGGGGGGAGCAGTAGTCTATGTTGCCAAATCTTGCTATAAAATTAAGCGAATGCGCTTACAACTAAATAAGACGTTCCTTTTTGTTTTGTTCCTGCTGATGGTTTTTCATAATTCATAGAGATAGAGAGGCGTTGTGTTTAAAACATAAACATATAAATTAGATAAAACGTAGATTAAGCGAGATTTATTTGCAAAATAGTGTCTTTTAATTAAATTTAAAAAATGTAACTACTAAAATATATTTAATGGATCCCAAAACACGCGACATCCCAAAACCGCAACCAAAACATGCTCATATTGTAAAGACTTTATGTAATAACAAGGCCGAAGTGGCTTATCAAAGCGGACTTGGCAACACCGGCCGTAGTGCTGGAGTAAAGAGGGGCGGGGGGTGGAGTACGAGAGTAAGTGAGCGGGCTTTACATTTCTTTCTGCTCTTGCACGTCGCTTCTACACTTGTTTCTATTGTTGATGAGACCTTTTAGGACATTCCCATAGTATAAAAAAGGATATTTATTTTGCTCAGTGTTAGTAAATATAGGGGCAAACTGCGTGTGTGAGACACGGCCATTTGGGACATTGTGGTCAGGATGCCGATGAATGACATCTGCTTTTCCTAAAGACAAGGGACCGTTTGCTTTACAGGGCGACTCTCGATGGACAGTGAAATAGAAGGTTGGACATGTTTAAATGAACCTAGTGTCTCTGTGTGTGTAGAATTGTCTCTAAAGTTACTACATGTGCTTAGCCCACTTTAAACCCTTATCATTTCCATCTGTGGAAGACCAAGTGAACATAGTGCTTTACTTCAGCTGGAGAAATGTTACGTTCTGTGCTTTTTTCCTACCTTTCCTTTAAATTCTAGAATGTGTTTCTAAAAATAAGTCTGTTGAGGCTCAAGTTTATCCGTTCTGACTGAATTCAGTCTCTATTGAAGAGCTGCCTTTCGTAGTTTCTTGAACTAAATGTGTCAACTTCCAAAATAGACACGAGACTCTGATCTTGAACATACATGAAGTACGAGGCGCTATTGAATAAATGCTGGACCAGACCTGAACAGAACTTGAACAGACCACCTGATTGTTCCGGCGTTGAGGCTTTTTTATGTATTATTCTTAATATATGGTCCCTTTTATCATTTTAA